TCCATAGTCATCGTGTTAGATCCCACAATACTCCATAGTCATTGTTTTTTCATAACATACAAAACAAATATTGACATAAAGCACTTAACGAAAAAAGTCATTTTGAAAATTGAGACAATTCCTCAAACTGGTGTTCTAATTTATCTGGTTTCCCATAAACATTGGACGCACAAATATATCTGGTTTCCCGTAAACATTGGACGGACAATTTTTTCTGGTTTCCCGTAAACATTGGACGGTCACATTTATCTGGTTTCTCGTTAACATTGGACGGACATATTTATCTGGTTTTCCGTTAACATTGGACTAACAATTTATCTGGTTTCCCGTAAACATTGGATGTTCAAATTTATCTGGTTTTCGGTAAACATTGGACGGTCAAATTTATCTTGTTTTCGGTTAACATTGGACGGACAAATTTATCTGGTTTCCCGTAAACATTGGACGGACAATTTTAAGATAAGGCTGCGATAATCACTTTTTTTCCAATTCAGATACATTAATCTTATTTTTCATCAAGATTCCAGATGCTGCCTTGCTTCGAATACTGCCAAGATTTACACTACAGTTTAATGACGATGGACAATGGAGACCAAGCCAGATAGACGGAGTGTTGAGAAAAATAACAGGTAGGGATACCTCGCAAGTTCCTAACGTAAAATATTGTCCTAAACAGGTTATGTTTCTATAAACCTTCATAACCATCATAAATTAATTCGTGGTTATGTGGAGTTATCACCTCATAACCAGGCCAAAATAGAAAACTAGTTCTTCCTTTTGCAGTATTTTTCTGCCATTGGTTCATGACCATCTTAATTATTATAGTTTTATCAGCGGACACACATTTCATTTTTAAAACATGTAAACGCCTGATCAGTTTAAAATGATTAAAAGCGTGAAATTGTCATAGAATCTAAGCATGGTTGACTCAGCCAACATTTACTGTTGATGACGTCACACAATTGTGGTTCGATCGAGAGAAAATAATGCATAGCTCTTGCCACGTGTTTTGTGGGTGACGTCATGGAAACGTGTCACGTTCTATGATCAGGTTATGGGATGGAAACTCCTATTAGTGTATACTGTAAATACAGGTATGTAATACGTAGTGTTAATCAGCTACACTCCCTTCACATATTTTGCATCAATACTGTACGTACTAAGTAAATCATTTAAAACTACCCATTTAAAATTAGTAACAGCTACATGTATATAGATCAAGCCATTATGAGTTATTGATATGCATTGCTTCCCTGCAGATGATACACTGATCAACTTTGTACTCCCGGTTGGAAATGTTGCGCATGCCCAGGCTTGGTCACACATTTTTGGTTACTATATACCAGTGATGCCAGGTAAGTTAATTGTATCTTATTTTCTAAGGTACTAACATAGTCAGTCAATGTCATGTAAGTATGTTGTTTTAAGCTCTTTTTAGGTCTACTCAAGACGCTGTCATGTTAGTATATTGTTGCTGTTCCCTAGCGTCTGTTGTAGACGATGTCATGTTAGTATATCGTTGCTGTTCCCTAGCGTCTGTTGTAGACGATGTCATGTTAGTATATTGTTGCTGTTCCCTAGCGTCTGTTGTAGACGATGTCATGTTAGTATATTGTTGCTGTTCCCTAGCGTCTGTTGTAGACGATGTCATGTTAGTATATTGTTGCTGTTCCCTAGCGTCTGTTGTAGACGATGTCATGTTAGTATATTGTTGCTGTTCCCTAGCGTCTGTTGTAGACGATGTCATGTTAGTATATTGTTGCTGTTCCCTAGCGTCTGTTGTAGACGATGTCATGTTAGTATATTGTTGCTGTTCCCTAGCGTCTGTTGTAGACGATGTCATGTTAGTATATTGTTGCTGTTCCCTAGCGTCTGTTGTAGACGATGTCATGTTAGTATATTGTTGCTGTTCCCTAGCGTCTGTTGTAGACGATGTCATGTTAGTATATTGTTGCTGTTCCCTAGCGTCTGTTGTAGACGATGTCATGTTAGTATATTGTTGCTGTTCCCTAGCGTCTGTTGTAGACGATGTCATGTTAGTATATTGTTGCTGTTCCCTAGCGTCTGTTGTAGACGATGTCATGTTAGTATATTGTTGCTGTTCCCTAGCGTCTGTTGTAGACGATGTCATGTTAGTATATTGTTGCTGTTCCCTAGCGTCTGTTGTAGACGATGTCATGTTAGTATATTGTTGCTGTTCCCTAGCGTCTGTTGTAGACGATGTCATGTTAGTATATTGTTGCTGTTCCCTAGCGTCTGTTGTAGACGATGTCATGTTAGTATATTGTTGCTGTTCCCTAGCGTCTGTTGTAGACGATGTCATGTTAGTATATTGTTGCTGTTCCCTAGCGTCTGTTGTAGACGATGTCATGTTAGTATATTGTTGCTGTTCCCTAGCGTCTGTTGTAGACGATGTCATGTTAGTATATTGTTGCTGTTCCCTAGCGTCTGTTGTAGACGATGTCATGTTAGTATATTGTTGCTGTTCCCTAGCGTCTGTTGTAGACGATGTCATGTTAGTATATTGTTGCTGTTCCCTAGCGTCTGTTGTAGACGATGTCATGTTAGTATATTGTTGCTGTTCCCTAGCGTCTGTTGTAGACGATGTCATGTTAGTATATTGTTGCTGTTCCCTAGCGTCTGTTGTAGACGATGTCATGTTAGTATATTGTTGCTGTTCCCTAGCGTCTGTTGTAGACGATGTCATGTTAGTATATTGTTGCTGTTCCCTAGCGTCTGTTGTAGACGATGTCATGTTAGTATATTGTTGCTGTTCCCTAGCGTCTGTTGTAGACGATGTCATGTTAGTATATTGTTGCTGTTCCCTAGCGTCTGTTGTAGACGATGTCATGTTAGTATATTGTTGCTGTTCCCTAGCGTCTGTTGTAGACGATGTCATGTTAGTATATTGTTGCTGTTCCCTAGCGTCTGTTGTAGACGATGTCATGTTAGTATATTGTTGCTGTTCCCTAGCGTCTGTTGTAGACGATGTCATGTTAGTATATTGTTGCTGTTCCCTAGCGTCTGTTGTAGACGATGTCATGTTAGTATATTGTTGCTGTTCCCTAGCGTCTGTTGTAGACGATGTCATGTTAGTATATTGTTGCTGTTCCCTAGCGTCTGTTGTAGACGATGTCATGTTAGTATATTGTTGCTGTTCCCTAGCGTCTGTTGTAGACGATGTCATGTTAGTATATTGTTGCTGTTCCCTAGCGTCTGTTGTAGACGATGTCATGTTAGTATATTGTTGCTGTTCCCTAGCGTCTGTTGTAGACGATGTCATGTTAGTATATTGTTGCTGTTCCCTAGCGTCTGTTGTAGACGATGTCATGTTAGTATATTGTTGCTGTTCCCTAGCGTCTGTTGTAGACGATGTCATGTTAGTATATTGTTGCTGTTCCCTAGCGTCTGTTGTAGACGATGTCATGTTAGTATATTGTTGCTGTTCCCTAGCGTCTGTTGTAGACGATGTCATGTTAGTATATTGTTGCTGTTCCCTAGCGTCTGTTGTAGACGATGTCATGTTAGTATATTGTTGCTGTTCCCTAGCGTCTGTTGTAGACGATGTCATGTTAGTATATTGTTGCTGTTCCCTAGCGTCTGTTGTAGACGATGTCATGTTAGTATATTGTTGCTGTTCCCTAGCGTCTGTTGTAGACGATGTCATGTTAGTATATTGTTGCTGTTCCCTAGCGTCTGTTGTAGACGATGTCATGTTAGTATATTGTTGCTGTTCCCTAGCGTCTGTTGTAGACGATGTCATGTTAGTATATTGTTGCTGTTCCATAGCGTCTGTTGTAGACGATGTCATGTTAGTATAGTGTTGCTGTTCCCTAGCGTTTGTTGTAGACGATGTCATGTTAGTATATTGTTGCTGTTCCATAGCGTCTGTTGTAGACGATGTCATGTTAGTATATTGTTGTTGTTCCCTAGCGTCTACTGTACCGCTGTATATGAATTCATATAAGTAAATTGTTTTTGTTCCAACCGTCTCTTGTACCGCTATACATGTAGATGACGTCACATATATTGTTTCTGTTTACTAACGTCTATTGTACAACAGCAGATAATTCATGTAAACATATTCAGCCTTGGTCTCATATCATGTTTTCTTAAAACTGGTCTGTTAAAATAATACCAATACAATGGATAGGAGGAATCGGTTAACTTCTTCACAAAATCGTTTGGTAACGACGATAAAGACTTTCTGTAGCAGTATACGTAAATAAGATAATAATTTAATATTTACTCATTTAACTGTACACTTGTATATCGAATTCCTACAAATATGTAACATGTTAAAACAATGTTACATATTATAACACAATACTAAAGATGAATAATTTATAATTATTGTTTTTATGAATTAAATAAGAGTACAGTAAAACGACTAACGTTTGAATTGTCGTTCATTTCACTTGAAGCCCATCCTCGAAATCCAGGGTTTACGCTCACCTTTGCTCTCTACACCCCTGGAATGTGTCATTGCAAATGAAGGCACGCGGCTAGATATTTGATTGGTGTCAGCAAAAAGAACCTGACCAATCACTAGGCTGATACTTGTCCCGTTAAGATGACAGAGGAGCGACGCCTGACTTCAAAGCCAGTATGTTTTACCGTTACGCGACTGCAAGATCCTTTTGATGTACATCAAAGGATCAAACTAGTCTTCTCGTCTCGCCCACAAGGTTGTGCACACTGAGCCTTCGATTTTGCCATGACATATCCCAGGGTTGTAGAGAACGAAAGTGAGCGTAACTCCTGGATATCGAGGCTGCCTGAGGTCCAGAGAATATTTTTGTGTTTGAAAATATCTGCAATTAAAAATCTGTCATCTTAGGCAAAATCTCATTCGATTCAATTTTCGCTGTCCTCCGTTGTGCTTCGTGCGTCAGCTTCGTCTTCTCAAAACTCACTGAACCTATTTACCTCATATATTCCCATGGTCAAAATTAATTAAAATCTTCTTCTTAAGACCAAAAAATGGTAGACAAAAAACTCCTCCTTCTTTATCTCCATTGTAAATTGCAATTACCCAGGTTACCGACTGCCACTGCGTGCATTTCATTACCTCGATATTACCTGTTCTTCTCTGGATATCATAGTTTATATGTACACTGTATACAAGAAAGTTACACCGAAGGGTCATACGACTTTGAACATTTGTAATTCTATATTGAATAACATTTCATAACTGTCACACAGGATATAGGAGAGAAGACATGCATAACATTTGTCGGCTATATCTAATTTAATGATGTTCTCTTTCGGCGAATTAACAGCTAAAACTATACTTAATGTAAATTGATTAGCTTTGTTGCGTCATAAAGAAACCATATTAATAAAAATTTAGCATTTTAAAAAGTTTTCATATCTGAATCAAATGTTTTGTTTTGCAAGAATAAAAACCATTATAAGATAAGTTAAAATATGTGATTATGATATTCACATTTAAGGTGATTGTGACTTAACTAAACCTATCAATAAAAACATTTCGATTTTGCAATTTCCATGTTGGTATCAATAATGTGGCATGCATTCATGTTTTAATTCTTGGAAATGACCATTGGATACATGTATGTGCCTTTACTATATAATTAATATACTATGAAAACTATGAAAGTTTTGTTCAGTTCATACATGGATTTGTATTAATTCTGAAGTATGTTCCATTAAAACAATTGGGGCCAAATATATCAGTTGAATTAATTAAATTTTTTCTATCTTTTATTTTACAGTTCTTGAACGGAGGATTAAATCTTTTGAACTGTTCACGCCCAATAACATGCCTGTCTGTGTTTATGAGTTAATACCTAAGACGTGTGACATACCTGAAGTACTAGGACAAACAGATCCGTCCATAGTCCTTGCTGGAAAGCTAGAGAAAATTGTGGTGAACAGGGCAGGGAATAAAAACAGAACTTATATCCCGAATGTGTACCGTATTCAGGAGGGACAACGGGTAAGTTATTGTGTTTATAATGCATATGTATTATTAGTATGTACTTCGACACACAAAATATGTTTTGAGCTTAAATAATTACAATATTAGAATTTTATTTAAGTTATTAAAATAAAATTATACTTTATGAATATACTGTGAAATCAGTAATTTTTGAGGGAAATTTTCGTTGATTTCGTGGGTTATCTTCATCCACGAATTCATAGGCCTACAATGTAATTACAAGTTTGACATAAATGAATTCATGTTCCCACGAAATGGTGTTTTGTAGAAAATGTCTGATTTTACAGCAGTCAGAGACACTTTGTGTCAACTAAAAGAATAACGTCATGGAATCGTTTAGCAGTAAAATTTGATTTAGAAATATATCAAACATATGTTTTTAGGTTTATTACTGTGTCGCTCAGTATCCGAACGTTCTCAGTGCTATTGATAAAATGGAAAAGTCCAAGGAAATCAGAATGGACAAAAAGGACAAGAAGATACAAGTGAAGAGATTTGCCAACACCCTCCGCACATTCATCAACCATTCGGACAACACTTTGTGTAGAAACAAAATTAGAGTCCTGCAATTCGACGGTGCGTACATAGTTTCTACCATTATAACGGCACACTGGCTTAGTTTAAGGTCAGTCAGTTCGAAACGTATTATTGACAGTTGCTCTTATAGTACGTGCAATAAAAATACAGTACAAGATCGATTAAAAGGGAGGTTGATTATAGAAATTCAGTCAAACTTCGGTATTATGTCCTTGTTTCATTGCCACCTTGTTTCCCGTCAACATATTTCAATGTTCATTTTTCGTTTTGTAACTACGATTTTCTCTATACTTTTTCTCAATTTGTCGCAAAATCCCTTTAAAGGGAAACATTTCTCTGTACAAATGGTTTATTTGTTTAACCTACCGGCTAACCGACCGACCAACGTTGAGATAAACATTTGGTTTTCATACGAATATACTTGAGAACACAAATTAATTCCCTCTCGATACTCATTTCCTGGCCTTTTCTTTTCAATATTTCTACACCACATAGTTTTTACTTTAACTTGTATATACATATATATTCCGTATATAAGCTATAATATAAAGTATATGGCGGTTAGTTTTGAATACGGTTTAATTAAATTGAACAGAATTTACCGGACTAAATAAAGTGTTCTTTTACTTGAGACGAAAAAGAAAAGCCACGTGATGTGTTGCTACGTGCAATAAAGGAAGACTTGGTGGCCCCAGCGGACGTCTCGGTATGTCTTACTAGATGTCTGTGATGTTGCATGGAAATATGGTTCAGTTGAAATATTGAGTTTGATAAAATCAGTGTTTGAAGGAATAAATCTTACAGGCAAATATATTTTACTATCTTTATCATTGCGTTTTTAAATATCAAATAATTTATATCCTTTAGTCTATCGTATCACATTGATTACATACAGTTTACACTTCCTTAATGCACTGAACATAAATTGTACATGCTCTACCCCTTCAGTGACGCTTAGCGCCATCAGTTCGAAATAAAAGTTGTAACCTATTGCGTGTTAAGAAACACGAGAAAAATGGTCGCAAAATTAGTCGATGGATAAAATTCTTGAATATGTCCTTCAGGAAGTTTCAAACATTTGCTTAAAAGTCGAACAAAAGCAGGCGAACCAAACACATACATTGATTGCACACTGCATTAAAAATGATATTCACCACCTATTTGGCACGTGGCTCGGGGCACATGACGAGACTGCATCACTAAAGCTACTTTTAAACGTTTTTAACGCAGGGAATACGCGCAGTGTCGAACAAAACAAACAGCAAATGTGAATGTGACGCTTACATCGTCTGTAGTGATTGCGATACGGAAGAGGCGAACCGTATGTTGGACTTTCTGAAAGAGAAACGCAAGATCGTTGATTGCTGCGAGTCGAGATGTGGACCTCAGTTTCAGTGTAAGCTATGTCGAAACATTTCTTTATCTACAGTATTAAAAAAGTGTCCTGATATGCATGATCGCAAAGGAAATGTTCTGGCTTTGTTGCCTTCCATTCTGTTGGGATGGTATGGGCTGTCATAATGTTTCCCCATGCTTTGGTGTTTTGTTAGAGCCTGTTGCAGGCATTGTCATTTTGTTCCAGGTTTGAGTTAAGTTTTTGCTCTGTTCTTATCGATGCTGTACCAGTTCACAATACTGTAGCTTAATTTGACAGGAATCATCTGTATGGCTTCTTTTCCAAAACACTTCCTTTTCCTTTTTGTATGGACTTAAATTACATTTAGTCTTTGCATAATGGTTGGAATATTATTGTTTTATTAGGATCTATGATGATCAATGTTGTGGAATCCACCAGGCCGATCGCTATTTTTTTTTTTTTTTTCAAATAAATTCATTCCAGTGTTATATTAAAAAAAAACATAACCCAATCAAATGGTTTTATGTTCACGAGAATAAACAGTTTGTAGTGGAATTGTATTCGACGTTCGAATGTATTTGAGTTGTCAAATGATATAACACCATTTTGCTCGCATGGCTCATGTTATTAGCGAATGAATTTGAATACCTTACATTACAGCATTACAGAAAGATATTGAGAACAGCCGCTGGGTAATACTGCTTCTGTCAAAAGAAGCATTAACGGACCCCCGTATGGACTATAACATAATAGCAATCTTAAATGATGGCGTAAAAAGACACGACCTCAACATTTTGCCTGTTCTCATCGACCTGGAAGAAAAACACATTCCCGACGCACTGAGATGGATTGGATTTCTAGAAAAGAAACATGGCTATGAAGAAAGGCTCCTGCAATGGATAGAAGGTAAGAATTAAGTTTCTTCACAGGATACAGAGTAGGGTAAATCGTGTATGCCTAAAGAAATGTCCGTTGTCTAAGTATAATTATATTTAAAACAGTAGAGCTGTTGGTATTAAGTATCAATCTTGAAAACTTTTAAAGAAAAAAACTATTTTCTGCTGTTAAGCTTATATCGAGGGGTCTAAACATATGAAAGAATACACTGTAATATATGACACAACTATTTATCCTACACTCTCATTGGTTGTATCATAATCAAGTAGAGGTCAGCGATTTGTGATTCGATGACACTAGTTTTAGAAACAGCAGGGCAATCCTCTTTTTATGACGTCACTTGTGTTCTCTGCAGAATAGAGATTTTTTTGTTTATTTGTTGTTTTTTCCCTGACGATTTTCGAATGTTTTCTGTTGTTTAATAATAAAATGGCGTGATATTTTATCTAACCTAACAATTTAGGACTTAAATTTCTTTCAATACTTGTATATGGTTACATGATCCTAAAAACAAATATTGACCTCGATTTCTTCTCTGTTAAGATCTTTTTGCCATGCTTATATAAACAGGTAAAATCAGAAAATTTAACTTATAATTTTGTTTTAGGGAACGATGTTCCATTCGCTCTAGACTCCACGTGTCTCCCTGCCTGGAACATAGGCTACACGCTAGCTTTGGGCTACATCGTCAACTATCTTCATACAGTTCTAAACCGTAATGCTGTTCAGTGTGATTAATAGTGTTTCTTTAGCCTTACAACACGCTTTGCTTCGTAAGAGCAAGATGTAGTTATTGGTTTTATGTAAATGATTTGTATGTGTGATCTTGGAGCATATTTTACTTTCTTTTGTTATATAAGTTAAATTCTGATGCTTCTTATTTTCGATCACTGTGTGTACGCTGCTTTGTACTTTTGTAACACTATTATATTCGCATTCTGCAATGTGTGTTATTTTTTATTTTATTTTTTATAAATACGTGATATGTATCACGTAAGAACTGCACTTTTGTGGTAAAATGCATTGCTATGAATATGTGACATAAAGGTTTTTTTTAAATAGTATCTTCAATATTAATAGTAGTTTTGTAGTATATGTCTTAAAACATGGTCTATTTAATTAAGGCTTTTATTGATATTTTAAAGCTCAAAATTTGATATTCACATTTTATCAGGAAACCGAATTATCTAAAAAAAAAAAGAGTTTGTTTGAGTGTTTTCTTTTTTATTTCCTTTTTTTTTCCATTTTTCTTTTTCTTTTTCTTTTTTTTATCTATCTTTTTTCTTTTCCTCGTTTTTCTATTCCTTGTCATAGTTTATTAAAAACGCTTGCTGTATCTGTCTCAATGCTGTTATTCTCTTTGTCATCTTCGTCTTATTTTAGAACATCAGTCGTATTCAGCAAACTAAGTAGGACTTTTACCTAGTTTGCTTTATTTTGTTTATTTTGAATGATACTCACTAGAGCAGCATCTGCAGCTTTACAAATACAATTTAGAATTTCTTTTTTTTTTTCAAAATAGTTCGCAACATTCAGTATTAACTGTTTCACTTCAACAGAAAATAAATTGTGATGCTTTTTAGAAGTCATTTTGTTCTCCGGTTACTTGACCATTCAATTCAATATTATAGCAACAGCCGCATTGCACAACATATATATATATAAATGAGCAGTAATGGAAATATTACGGGTAACATAGATTTTCTTGGAACGTGGTGCAAACAAAACTACAAACAACCCATGACGTGTACGCTTTAATTAATACACGAATAAAACTGAAATAACCGGTCTCACGACGTGTACGCTTTAATTAATACACAAACAAAATGACAAACAACCGGTCACACGACGTGTACGCCTTAATTAATACACAAACAAAACTACAAACAACCGGTCACACGACGTGTACGCTTTAATAAATACACAAACAAAACTACAAACAACAGGTCACACGACGTGTACGCTTTAATAAATACACAAACAAAACTACAAACAACCGGTCGCACGACGTGTACGCTTTAATAAATACACAAACAAAACTACAAACAACAGGTCACACGACGTGTACGCTTTAATAAATACACAAACAAAACTACAAACAACAGGTCACACGACGTGTACGCTTTAATAAATACACAAACAAAACTACAAACAACAGGTCACACGACGTGTACGCTTTAATAAATACACAAACAAAACTACAAACAACAGGTCACACGACGTGTACGCTTTAATAAATACACAAACAAAACTACAAACAACAGGTCACACGACGTGTACGCTTTAATAAATACACAAACAAAACTACAAACAACCGGTCGCACGACGTGTACGCTTTAATAAATACACAAACAAAACTACAAACAACCGGTCACACGACGTGTACGCTTTAATAAATACACAAACAAAACTACAAACAACCGGTCACACGACGTGTACGCTTTAATAAATACACAAACAAAACTACAAACAACCGGTCACACGACGTGTACGCTTTAATAAATACACAAACAAAACTACAAACAACCGGTCACACGACGTGTACGCTTTAATAAATACACAAACAAAACTACAAACAACCGGTCACACGACGTGTACGCTTTAATAAATACACAAACAAAACTACAAACAACCGGTCACACGACGTGTACGCTTTAATAAATACACAAACAAAACTACAAACAACCGGTCACACGACGTGTACGCTTTAATAAATACACAAACAAAACTACAAACAACCGGTCGCACGACGTGTACGCTTTAATAAATACACAAACAAAACTACAAACAACAGGTCACACGACGTGTACGCTTTAATAAATACACAAACAAAACTACAAACAACCGGTCGCACGACGTGTACGCTTTAATAAATACACAAACAAAACTACAAACAACAGGTCACACGACGTGTACGCTTTAATAAATACACAAACAAAACTACAAACAACCGGTCGCACGACGTGTACGCTTTAATAAATACACAAACAAAACTACAAACAACAGGTCACACGACGTGTACGCTTTAATAAATACACAAACAAAACTACAAACAACAGGTCACACGACGTGTACGCTTTAATAAATACACAAACAAAACTACAAACAACCGGTCGCACGACGTGTACGCTTTAATAAATACACAAACAAAACTACAAACAACAGGTCACACGACGTGTACGCTTTAATAAATACACAAACAAAACTACAAACAACCGGTCACACGACGTGTACGCTTTAATAAATACACAAACAAAACTACAAACAACAGGTCACACGACGTGTACGCTTTAATAAATACACAAACAAAACTACAAACAACCGGTCACACGACGTGTACGCTTTAATAAATACACAAACAAAACTACAAACAACCGGTCACACGACGTGTACGCTTTAATAAATACACAAACAAAACTACAAACAACCGGTCACACGACGTGTACGCTTTAATAAATACACAAACAAAACTACAAACAACCGGTCACACGACGTGTACGCTTTAATAAATACACAAACAAAACTACAAACAACCGGTCACACGACGTGTACGCTTTAATAAATACACAAACAAAACTACAAACAACCGGTCACACGACGTGTACGCTTTAATAAATACACAAACAAAACTACAAACAACAGGTCACACGACGTGTACGCTTTAATAAATACACAAACAAAACTACAAACAACCGGTCGCACGACGTGTACGCTTTAATAAATACACAAACAAAACTACAAACAACAGGTCACACGACGTGTACGCTTTAATAAATACACAAACAAAACTACAAACAACAGGTCACACGACGTGTACGCTTTAATAAATACACAAACAAAACTACAAACAACCGGTCACACGACGTGTACGCTTTAATAAATACACAAACAAAACTACAAACAACCGGTCACACGACGTGTACGCTTTAATAAATACACAAACAAAACTACAAACAACCGGTCACACGACGTGTACGCTTTAATAAATACACAAACAAAACTACAAACAACCGGTCACACGACGTGTACGCTTTAATAAATACACAAACAAAACTACAAACAACAGGTCACACGACGTGTACGCTTTAATAAATACACAAACAAAACTACAAACAACCGGTCACACGACGTGTACGCTTTAATAAATACACAAACAAAACTACAAACAACCGGTCACACGACGTGTACGCTTTAATAAATACACAAACAAAACTACAAACAACCGGTCACACGACGTGTACGCTTTAATAAATACACAAACAAAACTACAAACAACCGGTCACACGACGTGTACGCTTTAATAAATACACAAACAAAACTACAAACAACAGGTCACACGACGTGTACGCTTTAATAAATACACAAACAAAACTACAAACAACCGGTCGCACGACGTGTACGCTTTAATAAATACACAAACAAAACTACAAACAACAGGTCACACGACGTGTACGCTTTAATAAATACACAAACAAAACTACAAACAACCGGTCACACGACGTGTACGCTTTAATAAATACACAAACAAAACTACAAACAACCGGTCACACGACGTGTACGCTTTAATAAATACACAAACAAAACTACAAACAACAGGTCACACGACGTGTACGCTTTAATAAATACACAAACAAAACTACAAACAACAGGTCACACGACGTGTACGCTTTAATAAATACACAAACAAAACTACAAACAACAGGTCACACGACGTGTACGCTTTAATAAATACACAAACAAAACTACAAACAACCGGTCACACGACGTGTACGCTTTAATAAATACACAAACAAAACTACAAACAACCGGTCACACGACGTGTACGCTTTAATAAATACACAAACAAAACTACAAACAACAGGTCACACGACGTGTACGCTTTAATAAATACACAAACAAAACTACAAACAACCGGTCACACGACGTGTACGCTTTAATAAATACACAAACAAAACTACAAACAACAGGTCACACGACGTGTACGCTTTAATAAATACACAAACAAAACTACAAACAACCGGTCACACGACGTGTACGCTTTAATAAATACACAAACAAAACTACAAACAACCGGTCACACGACGTGTACGCTTTAATAAATACACAAACAAAACTACAAACAACAGGTCACACGACGTGTACGCTTTAATAAATACACAAACAAAACTACAAACAACCGGTCGCACGACGTGTACGCTTTAATAAATACACAAACAAAACTACAAACAACAGGTCACACGACGTGTACGCTTTAATAAATACACAAACAAAACTACAAACAACCGGTCACACGACGTGTACGCTTTAATAAATACACAAACAAAACTACAAACAACCGGTCACACGACGTGTACGCTTTAATAAATACACAAACAAAACTACAAACAACCGGTCACACGACGTGTACGCTTTAATAAATACACAAACAAAACTACAAACAACCGGTCACACGACGTGTACGCTTTAATAAATACACAAACAAAACTACAAACAACCGGTCACACGACGTGTACGCTTTAATAAATACACAAACAAAACTACAAACAACCGGTCACACGACGTGTACGCTTTAATAAATACACAAACAAAACTACAAACAACCGGTCACACGACGTGTACGCTTTAATAAATACACAAACAAAACTACAAACAACCGGTCACACGACGTGTACGCTTTAATAAATACACAAACAAAACTACAAACAACCGGTCACACGACGTGTACGCTTTAATAAATACACAAACAAAACTACAAACAACCGGTCACACGACGTGTACGCTTTAATAAATACACAAACAAAACTACAAACAACCGGTCACACGACGTGTACGCTTTAATAAATACACAAACAAAACTACAAACAACCGGTCACACGACGTGTACGCTTTAATAAATACACAAACAAAACTACAAACAACCGGTCACACGACGTGTACGCTTTAATAAATACACAAACAAAACTACAAACAACCGGTCACACGACGTGTACGCTTTAATAAATACACAAACAAAACTACAAACAACCGGTCACACGACGTGTACGCTTTAATAAATACACAAACAAAACTACAAACAACCGGTCACACGACGTGTACGCTTTAATAAATACACAAACAAAACTACAAACAACCGGTCGCACGACGTGTACGCTTTAATAAATACACAAACAAAACTACAAACAACCGGTCACACGACGTGTACGCTTTAATAAATACACAAACAAAACTACAAACAACCGGTCACACGACGTGTACGCTTTAATAAATACACAAACAAAACTACAAACAACCGGTCACACGACGTGTACGCTTTAATAAATACACAAACAAAACTACAAACAACCGGTCACACGACGTGTACGCTTTAATAAATACACAAACAAAACTACAAACAACCGGTCGCACGACGTGTACGCTTTAATAAATACACAAACAAAACTACAAACAACCGGTCACACGACGTGTACGCTTTAATAAATACACAAACAAAACTACAAACAACCGGTCGCACGACGTGTACGCTTTAATAAATACACAAACAAAACTACAAACAACCGGTCACACGACGTGTACGCTTTAATAAATACACAAACAAAACTACAAACAACCGGTCGCACGACGTGTACGCTTTAATAAATACACAAACAAAACTACAAACAACCGGTCACACGACGTGTACGCTTTAATAAATACACAAACAAAACTACAAACAACCGGTCGCACGACGTGTACGCTTTAATAAATACACAAACAAAACTACAAACAACCGGTCACACGACGTGTACGCTTTAATAAATACACAAACAAAACTACAAACAACCGGTCGCACGACGTGTACGCTTTAATAAATACACAAACAAAACTACAAACAACAGGTCACACGACGTGTACGCTTTAATAAATACACAAAATAGGTATAAACATAACTTGGAGCAAAAAAAATATTATTTCATGAAAATGTCAACACGACGGGTAGGTGTTATCTGTCCATACGCCTTGCAATATTGATTATGACTAAATGATCACATGTCATCCCTAAATGTTTACTTATGAAGCAAACAATGCCGTTTAAATCATTTGAACAATTTGATAAAAAATATTTACGCTGAATTACTTTAAAAGTTACACAACTTCTTGAGTTCTATAATAATCCACACTGTCATAAATACTAAGGTTTAACTAAAACAAATATGCCAAAATTGCGCAAGAACCTGTTTTAAATGCGATGTTCACGATGATATATCAATTACTTTGTAGAATTTTGTGACTTCATTCCGAGAGCCCTCGGGATCAAGAACATTGACCACAACACGTGCCCACAAAAGGTTTACCTTATAGTACCAGATAGCGGAATATGCACGGACCTTGTGCATTACAAGTGTGAATACGTCGAGCACGCCGTCAGATTTGCTGAGATTGACGATTTTCAGGGAGCGGCAAATATTATCAAATCTCTTGATGTTTACAAGATCACAGATCCCGCAACAAAGGAAGTACGTTTGCTTTCAAGGATTTTAAAGTTTACTGTTTTTCAGTTTTTACGTTTGTGTTCTCTCTGTATGACCTAGATAAACTGTCAGATAACCAAAGTAGTTGTTTCCGAACGACTAATATTTTGATATCAAAGTTTAGCTCGAGTTGATGTTTAATCCCCCACTGGGGGTGGGGGCTTTAGGATTGCACTCCGTCCGTCCGTCCTTCCGTCCTTCCGTTCAAGAAGTTTGTCCGGGGCATTCACCTGGGATATACATATAGATTTTTTTTTTTTTTTTTTTTTTTTTTATATATGTACATTTATTAACCCTGGCATGCATATATCATTCGTGGGTCGTCTGCCCCAGCTACGACTCACAATACATGAAACACTCTCTATTTTCATTCTTCACAAATCAACAATTGTTCATTTCTTTCTCTCTCACTTTTTCCCACTCTCATACTGTAATTTTTATTTTTTTTACCTAACTTTTTTACACTCTCGTATAAACCCTCCTCACACGGAGGTAACAAACAAAATAAATTAAAAAAATACGGAACTTTTGTCCGGTTTACGGATTCCTTAGCTACATGTATTTGTTTTCATGCATTTCCGCTGATTGTTGTGAATAGGGAGTGGGAAGGATTACAGAATGACTGTGAAAGCTAATAATATATTTTGAATGCCTCAGTTATATTGTTGTTCATGTTGTGCGACCCTGTATAGGATCTTACGTGAGTTTCCATTTCATATGAGATTTATGAAACGAGTCTAAAAAAAATTCAGAGCCTCTGGCGAGCTAATATGAAAAACTCGTAACGAATTATATAAATTTCTTATGAAATGATAACGAGAGTACTGTAAGATCCTTTTCATCACATACTCAAGATTTGTGGCTTTTATACGTGTAAAACGGCAATTTTCATGCAACCTTGAAATGTAAAAAGCCGCCATTTCGACTCCGGTGCGTAAGTCTGTACCGTCATGTACTTGTCTTTTGCGTAAAGTCACAATTGAAACAATTGAAACTTACAACCAATCACAGGGCTGAAAGGTCATACTACATGAGTTGATACGCAAACAATATGACATGGGTATATTCACTAGATAACACAGTACATAATGTGATAAAAAGACATCTTTGGATGGCGGAGTGCAGAGTGCAGGGATTAGGTCACTGTGACCTATGACTTGACCTCTGACCTTAACTTTGGAAACGTTTGTCCAGAGCCTATCTTCTGTACTATTTCACCTGGAGTAACCAGATTTGGTGTACAATGACATATTGGGATAGCGGACTGCGGAGTGCAAAAATAGGTCACTGTGACCTACGACTTGACCTTTGACCTTTACTTTTGAAATTGTTTGTCCGGGGATATCTTCTATACTATTTCACCTGGAGTAACCAGATTTGATGTACAAGGACATCTTGGGATGGCGAGGGCAAGAAGAAGGTTACTATGACCTCACTGCGGCGTATGCTTGAACAGTATAGGTACATCCAGACATAAGTGTACTGTTTGTTAAATATAGAAGTCAATTCCGATGGGGGACTATGGATTGCCTTGCAATACTTCGCCTTTTTATAACATGATTTCAAAGGGTTTGCACACAACGCAACATACATGTAGCTGATGTTCGTGACAGGACAACAAAGTAGGAAGTTGATTAGCGATAATTCTCTCCAATTCTTGTATTTGCTTCAGGAAATAATTGTATCATGTATATTTTAATTGACTTTCTAAATTATTTCACGTTAACAAATGCAAGAATATATGCCCATTTAAGGGTTTGAGGCCTTATTTGGGCAGTCGCCATGTACTGGCCGCATGTCGACGTTTTTTTTTCCGGATACTCCGGCTTTCCTCCACGACTAAAACATGGCAGGTCCTTAAATGACCATAGCTGTCAATAGGACGTAAAACACAAACAATTTAAACCAACTCAATTTATACCAATACTGTTCCCCACTATCTGTAGTCCCGAAACTTAACAATGATTTGTTTAATCAAACGTTTTGTCAATAGATATTACCAATGAGACAAATTTTGAACGAAGTCTTTTCATTAGAATTTGAGAAAAAAAATATGTAAAATTGTCCCTCCCAGTCAGAAATCCAGCAGTCATTTTGAATCCCGAAAACAAAATGCATGTCTTTGGAAATATATATGTGTGTTCCCCTTGGTTTTTAGAAATGTTTTTTTTATATTAATGTATAAATGTGTTGTAGAGCTATTACATGGTGTGTCAGTTCCCGGCTCCTATTCTTACTCTATGTAAAATGAATGACTCCAAGATCGCTGGGCTGAATGACCAAACAATGAGGGAGGAAGCAGACCGATTTTGTACCACGCTCAGCTTGCTAATGCATGGTCCTGTGGGCAATGGTCTCGCGGACAAATACGAGCTTGTCCGATACGATGGTAGATGTTTTAAAAATAGCACTGAGAGATTAAACAGAAGTTATGAATCCGATTTGCAAGAGTACCTGTATTTGTTTGCTACATTATCTATCAGAATAGTGTTTAAGTCCAAAAACTGTGCAGTATCTTTGGTATAGAAAGTCAACAGTAGCAACGAATCATGAAAATGAATTATATTTTGATTTAGATTTTGATGTATAAAGAGGAGGATCATTATATCGAGGTTTAACTGTAAGTAGAGAATTGGCGATGTATTGTGGTATTGTTGTATATACTCTATATACATATTCATGAGGGGCGTTATATTGTGGTATTTTTGTATTTAAATGTGTCACCTTGGTTATACTCTGTATATTTTACTATTTTACGAAGGACCATAGTGAGCTTATGCCGTGGCACAGCGTCCGTCGTTCGTCCGTCGTCGTCGTCGTCGTCCGTCGTCCGTCGTCACCATTTTCTTTAAAACCTATCTCCTTCTAAACGCCAAAGAGGATTTCAACCACATTTAGTCTGAAGCATCACTAGGGGAGGGCAATCATTTCTTAAATAAATGAGGTTGGTTTGACCCTGAGGCCAGGGGGATGAAGGGAAACTTAGCTATATTTGCTTTAAAACGCATCTCCTCCTAAACCCCAAAGAGGATTTAAACCAAATTTAGTCCAAAGCATCAGTAGGGAAGGGGAATAATTTCTTAAATAAATGAGGTTGGTTCGACGCCTGAGGCCAGGGAGGCGGGTCCCTGAAGGAAACTTAGCTAAATTTGCTTTAAAACGCATCTCCTCCTAAACACCAGAGAGGATTTAAACAACATTTAGTCTGAAGCATCAGTAGGGATGGGCAATCCTTTCTTAAATAAATGAGGTTGGTTTGACCCCTGAGGCCGGGGGGGCTGAAGGGGAACTTAGCTATATTTACTTTAAAACGCATCTCCTCCTAAACGCCGGAGGGGATTTCAACCAAATTCAGTCTAAAGCATCACTAGGGGAGGGCATTCATTTCTTAAATGTATGAGGTTGGTTCGGGGCCCTGAAGGGGAACTTAGCTAAATTTGCTTTAAAACGAATCTTCTGCTTAACGCCAAAGAGGATTTCAACCAAATTTAGTCTGAACCAACACTAGGGGAGGGCAATCATTTCATTCATAAATGAGGTTGTTTCGACCCCTGAGGCCAGGGGGGCGGGGCCCTGAAGGGGAACTTAGCTAAATTTGCTTTAAAACGCATCTCCTCCTAAAGACCAGAGAGGATTTCAATTCAAACAAATTTAGTATTAAGCATCACTAGGGGAGGGCAATCATTTCCTAAATAAATGAGGTTGGTTCGACCCCTGAGGCCAGGGTAGCGGGTCCCTGAAGGGGCACTTAGCTCAATTTGATTTAAAACGCATTTCCTCCTAAACGCCAGAGAAGATTTCAACCAAATTTGCTCTGAAACTTCATTGAGGGAGGGCAATCATTTCCTAAATAAATGAGACTGGTTCGACTCCTGGGGCTAGGAAGACCGGGCCCCAACGACGAAAATTATCTAATATTTTGCTTTAAGACGATAATATCCCCTAATTGCCTGAGTGATTGTACAAACATTTCTTAATCGAATGAGGTTGATTTGACCCCTGCGCTCCTAAGAAATGGTACAGCTAGATTATCATATTCTATGGTGAAATTTTCATAAATTGTTAAAAATTGGTTTCTAGGTTTATAAAAGCTAATATTTGAATGAAAATTAATTATGACATATTACTTATTTCAAAATCTGTTAACATGGCAACTCAATGGAGGCCTCTGATTAGATATTGTGGTCCCAGTTGGGTTAGAACATAGATCTTGTCTGGTTTTGAGGAAGTTTCATATAAAGATGCATTCAGTAATGACTTAAATATAAAACCAGGTGAGCGATACAGGTCCAATGGACCTCTTGTTACCTTTTTTACACATGAGATATTTATAAAATAGTACCGTAAATGATCCAATGAATGTCATGTAGAACAACTTTGTTTAAATGATGATGTTATCGCCTTTGTTTTGAGTCAAAATAATCTTTGTTTTTATTTTATTTTATTTCAGACTCTACGCAGGAAGGCCTTCCGAACAAAATAATTCCGCTGATAAAGAGAGACATCGGCTTTATACAGAGGGGCTCAACATAGGCACAAGATAGAGAGAGATACTATCAAAAATGATACCATTTACTAACAACTGGAGTCAATGCAATAAAAGAGGGAATTCAAGTAGATACAAAAGGACACGAATTGCCAAAATAGGGATATCAGAAGGCAATCAAGTGTTAATAGTGATACTTCTACAGGGATATCATAGGGATATCTAGTGTTAATAGTGGTATTTTTACAGGGATAGCATAGGGATATCTAGTGTTTATAGTGGTACTTATACAGGGATATCATATGGATATCAATACTATTAGAGGGCCTCCGAGTGTATTTACGGAAATGAAAGGGCTGTATAAAAATAAAAGAAGGAATCCGAGTGTATTGACACTGATAACAAGGGGTATCTCGTGGTAATAAAGGGATTACGAGCGTATTGATACTGATAACATATGGGTATTAAGTAGTAATAAAGAGATTCCGAGTGTATTGATACTGATAACATAGGGGTATATAGTAGTAATAAATATATTCCGAGGGTATTAACACGGATAACAAGGGGTATCTCGTGGTAATAAAGAGATTCCGAGTGTATTGATACTGATAACATAGGGGTATCTAGTAGTAATAAAGAGGTTCCGAGTGTATTGGCATTGATACCATAGGGGTATCTGGTAGTAATAAAGAGATTCCGAGTGTATTGACATTGCTAACATAGGGGTATCTAGTAGTAATAAAGAGCTTCCGAGTGTATTGACATTGATAACATAGGGGAATCTAGTAGTAATAAAGAGATTCCGAGTGTTTTGATACTGATACCATAGGGGTATCTAGGAGTAATAAAGAGATTCCGATTGTATTGACATTGATAACATAGGGGAATCTAGTAGTAATAAAGAGATTCCGAGTTTTTTGATACCGATACCATAGGGGTATCTAGTAGTAATAAAGAGATTCCGAGTGTTTTGATACTGATACCATAGGGGAATCTAGTAGTAATAAAGAGATTCCGATTGTATTGACATTGCTAACATAGGGGTATCTAGTAGTAATAAAGAGGTTCCGAGTGTATTGGCATTGATACCATAGGGGTATATAGTAGTAATAAAGAGATTCCGAGTGTATTGGCATTGATACCATAGGGGTATATAGTAGTAATAAAGAGATTCCGAGTGTATTGGCATTGATACCATAGGGGTATCTGGTAGTAATAAAGAGATTCCGAGTGTATTGACAATGATAACATAGGGGTATCTAGTAGTAATAAAGAGCTTCCGAGTGTATTGACATTGATAACATAGGGATATCTAGTAGTAATAAAGAGATTCCGAGTGTTTTGATACTGATACCATAGGGGAATCTAGTAGTAATAAAGAGATTCCGATTGTATTGACATTGCTAACATAGGGGTATCTAGTAGTAATAAAGAGCTTCCGAGTGTATTGACATTGATAACATAGGGTTATCTAGTAGTAATAAAGAGATTCCGAGTGTTTTGATACTGATACCATATGGGTATCTAGTAGTAATAAAGAGATTCCGAGTGTTTTGATACTGATACCATAGGGGAATCTAGTAGTAATAAAGAGATTCCGATTGTATTGACCTTGATAACATAGGGGTATCTAGTAGTAATAAAGAGATTCCGAGTGTTTTGATACTGATACCATAGGGGTATCTAGTAGTAATAAAGAGATTCCGAGGGTATTGACATTGATAACATAGGGGTATCTAGTAGTAATAAAGAGATTCCGAGTTTTTTGATACCGATACCATAGGGGTATCTAGTAGTAATAAAGAGATTCCGATTGTATTGACATTAATAACATAGAGGTAACTAGTAGTAATAAAGAGATTCCGAGTGTATTGACACTGATAACAAAGGGGTATCTAGTAGTAATAAAGAGATTCCGAGTGAATTGACAATGATAACATAGGGGTATCTAGTAGTTATAAAGAGATTCCGAGTTTATTGACACCGATACCATAGGGGTATCTAGTACCATAGGGGTATCTAGTAATAAAGGGTTTCGAGTGTATTGACAGGGATATAACAGGGTTATCTAATAGTAATAGTGGGACTCAGAATGTATTTGCAGGGATATCATAGGTGTATCTTAAAGTGATAAGGTAACTCCATGTGTGTTAACGGGGATATTCGAGAGATATGTTTTTGATATAAGTAAGTGAAAGGACAGCTTTCGAGACCCGTTATGGCCGAGAAATTCAACAGTGATATTGACAGCTGGATTATTTCTAGATCAAATATAACTATCTGTGGTGTTTCAATGGATTATATTTTATAGTTAATTTTGATAATATTTAAATGTACATATATATAATAAGTCATATGTTGTTAATAAGTTGTGGATTTTCTTCTATAATTTTCTGGTGCTTAGATTTAGTTTTGTTACCTGTAACTGTCCATTATTAAACACAATATTGGACAGCTATAGGTACTTCATTGTACATTCTATTATATAATGTACATTAAGAACAAAGGATGATGTCATAACTGTGTGTTAAATCTAACTTAAAACAGTCCCCTCTGAGTGCCTTTTAAGCTGATTCTGGTAACAAATTCCCTATTGGTTTTCACTGACCCATTTTACTTGATTGACAGTATAAGGTGCAACTATTGTCACACTCACGCAAACCTCATGCATGATTTTGAGTCTGTGGGGTTCCCATTTGTTCATATAGCAGAATGTTCTCTGACACTGAGGAGAAAGCTTTTATAACTCAGTCAAATATATGGCAGCTTGAGGAACAGGTCTTTTTTGAATGACAAATGCACGGCTAGACCAGGATTCGAACCCGGGACTCTCTAAACTAAGACGGTCGCTCTACCCGCAATCGTAACAACTCGGCCATTTCCGTGACCGAAAAGTAAAGACCGATGAGTTCCGATTGGAACTACCCGGTAACCGACGATCGACCCAGTCTAGTCCCGCTTTAACTTTTGCCGGTTGACTGGTAGTCCTTCATCCGAAGATTATCACCAGGCTCAATATGCTCATGATTTTATATATCTTTACATATGAACAGTACATTGTATTTGATTTATTTAAATACCGTTATAATCATAAGCATATTGTGAAATAAGAAATATGTTATCAAAGTAATTACAAAACTGTCACGTAATATGCACTACTGTATGTTTAAATGTCAAAGGAAATGTACCACTACCCTTACAATAGATAATATGAAAAGGCGAAGCCTTAAAGAGTGTAGCTTTTGTTGATCTCTGATAATTACTGATTCAGAATACTGCTTTCAGAATGAGATTTATAGAATCGCTTACCCCCTTGGGGCGAGATAGGGGAATCACAACCCGAGGGTTGAGATTCCACTATCTTACCCACAAGGGGGTGAATGATTATTTTTCTCTTACCCTGTTCTCCCAATGTGTATCATATACACAATGTAATGATAACGTTACATGCTAAATTCAAGGTTGACATGACTTTGATGGATTGCTGACGTGACGTCATTGTATTTTTGAAGTGACTTCATACCATTGTTATGAATAGGGGAATCCCCCCGTCTCAACCCTAGGGTGAGACCAATAGAATCCATCCCTGATGTGAGGTATGGATAAGGATTTAACGGAGTGACAACGGATGCAAAAACCCTCTCCGGACCTCCCCCTATTACACATGTATTAACAAATTTAATACATGTATTTCGTCAGGATTGGAGGTTGGGAAGCAATTCAAATGGTACATCTAAGCAGTTTCAGTTAAAGTCAAAAATGTTTTTAAAGCAGAGACATATAATTCGAGGAACTAAATATTGTATTTATGAGGAATATATCTCCCTACTTTAAAGAAAGATACAGTATTGATCATTAGCAAAGCATGTTAGGTTTTCTGTTTTTAGTGGATTAAATTCACCTGCTTATCAGGCACATGTATAGTGCATCAAATATATAGGGCATCTATTTGCCAAGGCCCATACATAATTTCAGAATTTCACAAATAAAATATTTCAAATTGAAATAATTCCAATATTTGAATAATTATTACCCATCGAAAAAAAATATATATAATATTTATAACTCAATTGTATTACATATGTGTAGTCCTACTTACTGACACATTCAGGAGAATTTCAGTGGGGCGGATATATAGGTGTCTCTGCCTGGAAAGTTTATAGGAGAAAAGTCATCTGTGGTCATCCCAATCACTTCATCTGCATACCTGATACAATAAGGAAAAAAAGTTAAACTATAACACATAATACAAATATTCTGAGTCACACAAGTAGGTGAATTTAAATTTTATATATGATAATGTTGTATTTTTTTCCTGATATGAGTGGATAAGTCAGCAACTTAAGCAATATTATGAATGCATTAAGTTTATAGGTTTAAATTCCATACTGTTTTATTATTATTATTGCATGAGAAAAAATATGTTTGTTTTTGCTAATGCTTCTGCCCATTACACAATTTCTATTCATGGTTTGATTTTTAAAGCATTTTGTCATTAAAGATCTCATTATATAATAAAAATAATACCAATTGTTCTTACCTTGAAATCTTTGCTGCACATGCTCATATTTTTCTTTTTTTCCGAGTGTTCGCCACAGGCCCTGATAAAATTTCTCCAAATTTCCTTAAACATGTCTATGCTGAAATAGCTCCAACTAGAACACTGACAGGTCAGTAAGGACCCCGTCTTGTGGCAATATATCCCCCATAATCATTAAGAATGATGCGTTGTTTAATTCCCACAAACATTGCTTCAAAGTGTCATAATGAAATATTCACCAGCAAAAAAATACAAAATTTGACCTTGACCTTTGACCTTGACCTTAAGTCAGTTGACTCTTTGTTAAATTCCGACCAACTTTGCTGCATAATGCCATAACAAAATGTTCATCAGGGAAAAGATACAAAATTTAACCTTCACCTTTGACCCAGTGACATTGACCTTTGGTCAGTTGACTTCTTGTTTAATTCTGAGCATCATTGCTTCAAAGTGTCATACCAAAATGTTCACCAGTGAAAAGATACAAAATTTAACCTTGACCTTTGACCCAATGACCTTGACATTTGGTCAGGTTGACTCCTTGTTTAATTCTGATCAACTTTGCTTCCTCATGTCATAAC